ATGTTTCAATTCAAATTTAACTCTAATAAATTGTACAAATAATGGCCCAAATAAGACTCTTAGACTTCTATTTTCCAAAAATATGACCCGTAGAGGGTTAGACAAAAAAGTGACCCTTCAACCTCCTTCGCATCTCGTCGTTCTCGCGCATCGCCATGGACCAGAAGCTTTCATCCAAACTGGCCGCTCCTCCTAGTCGTCTTCATCGCTCAACACCAAAGACACATTCTTCTCCAGGATGCAACATCCTTTTGCCGAACCAAGGTTTTAAATAGCCGTAGCGGCAGCGGCAACGGTCATCGCGATAGCAGCCTGTAGCTGACTGTAGCGGTTGCAGCGGTTGCAACGGTGTGAAATATTTTCAATTGCGCAAAACATAAATGTATTTTTTCACATCATTCACACAGCAATTAATTTTGAGTTTCACTCCATGCATCACCATTAATGTATTTTTTTACATCATTCACACAACATTTACCCATTTACACATCAAACAGTTCGTGATGTACTGCCGAAAATGTCAATAGCGGGCTGTAGCGGGCTGTAGCGGGCGGTGTAGCGGATTTTTCCCATGATTTGGAAATCACACACGAATAGCGGGCCGTAGCAGTAGCGGACCCTACCGCGACCGCTATATAGCGGCCGCTATAGCGGTAGTGGGCCGCTATTTCAAACCATGCGCCGAACTCCGCCAACATTTTTCTTCTTCTTCGCCTTTCTTCTCAAGTATAACACTTTCGCTGCCGCTGCTTCGGAACACCTTCAATTCGTTGTTGTCGCCTTCTTCGATGGAGCTTGTCAATCGACGCCGCTTTGAATCACCTCTGTCATTGTCGTCTTCGATGGAGTCTCGACCGCCACCATTGAAAATCCTTCCCAGATCTGATAGATTCCAGATCCCGATGGTTAGGTTTCAAATATGGCGGCTAGGCTTTCTAACTTGGGTGGTGGGATGGTTGTTGCCGGTTGCCGGCGAGTGACAGTAACAGGGGAGGGGCTGGGTGTGCGTTGTGGACTGTGGGTTAAGGGGATGTATGTGGGAGAGTGATTGAAGCTATATGTGGACTTGGGGGCGGTCTTGGCGGCAGTCACTGTGTCAGAGTCACTTTGGCCGATGGGCAGTCACTGTGGCCGGTGGGATAGTCACTGTGGCCGGTGGGACAGTCACTGTGGCCGGTGGGACAGTCACTGTGATGACGGAGTTACTTTGGCTGGAGTCACTTTGAACTGTAGGGGTTAATTGTGGTGATGGTCACATTTTGGAATTTTTAAAAACTTGTCACTTTTTTGTCGTTTATCTTATTTTTAGTAATATCCCGGAGATTTTTTCCAAATTAATGCTAAATAAAAAAGTATTTATCAAATCAATGTTGGGATAAACTTATTTCCCAATGTACTGCTATGCTAACTCAGGTTAATATGGCCAACTCATTTGCTAGTACGACGAAGAAGAACATAGGGCCACACAAAATTGGAGAACATGTAGTGGTGGGACGTAACAAAATAGAAAATCTCATTTTTGTTTTAAAATGTTGTAACTTTTTTATTTGTACTCCGATTGTCACAAAAAATGTATTAATATTTATAATTTTTTATTCTCTCATATGAGATCAATATTGTATATATAGATGTTTTAAAAAAATACTCCGTAAGATTTAAAAGAAATTGTTTTTGGAATTGTTATAATTGTTTTATTTCTATTTAGATTATTTTAAAAAATTTATTGAAATTCATAATGTTTTATTATCTTTTATATGACACTAATATTTCATTGGTAAGAATAAACAAATAATTTAGCAATTTCAAAAATCTATTTTTAGACTGTTATACTTTTTTTTGTATTTCGATGGTCTAAAAAATATTGGAATACATAAAATTCTTATTTCTCCCTCTGTATGAGTTTATATGTCTCATGCACTTTTCTTTTTGTATGTATCAAATTAATTTTCTCATTTTTTTTGAAAAAAACCCACACAAAACCTCTGTATTTGTAATATTAGAGTAAAAATAAAAAAGTTATAACACTTTAAAAATTGAAGTTTTTAAACAAATGAGGTACAATGCATTGGAGTACAAAAAGTTTAACCATGCAATATTGGTTTCATATGAAACGTAACAAAAAGTTTTGAATTCTTATATATCATTTGTAACAATTAGAGTACAAATCGGGAATGTGGCGCTACTCTATTGATACTGTAGATTCTTTTTTGTGGTTTTTTTCAAAAAAGAAATGAGACAATTAATTTGATGTGTACCAAAAACAAAAGTGCATGAGACAGATAAACTAATACGGAGGGAGCAATACGAATTTATATATTTCGATATATTTTCTTAGACAATGAGAATACAAAAAAAAGGTACAACACTATAAAAAATAGATTTTTGAAATTGCTATTTTTTTATTCCTACCTATGAAATATTAGTGTCATATAAAATATAACAAAATGTTATAAATTTCGATAAATCTTTTAAAATAATCGGAGTACAAATTAAAAAATTATAACATTTTCAAAAACAACTCGTTTTAAATTTCATTTTTATTTTTATTTTTATACATATAATATGGGTGTCATATGAAAGCCAATAAAAAATATGAATTTTGACATATTTTTCATGACAATCGGAGAACAAATAAAAAAATTATAACATTTTTTAAAAAACATGGGATTTTCTATTTTGTTAGGTCCCACCAATGTCTCTTCTCCAATTTTGTGTTGTCTATATGCTTATTCCGTTCTTCGTAGTTAGTACATGTAGGAAGTGGATGAGTAGATACGGTTAACCTTAGTTAGAACAGGTAGTAGATTGGGAAATAGTTTTAACCCAACATCAATTTGGTATATATTTTTATATTCAACATTAATTTGGAAAAAACCTCAATATCCCGGCCAAAAGGCCAAAACTGTATCCTGTAAGGCACTTCTTATTAAAGCTTCGGTAATGTGATGAAGAAATACAAAACTAATCAGAGATCCTCCAAATTAGGCCTGCACAAAATCGGGCCGGCCCTCCCAGCCCGCCCGGCCCCCCATATAAATGGGCGGGTTTGGACACATATTTTAGCCCACCGGCCCGGCGCGGCCCGGGCTCGTTTAAATCATGGGCGGGCTTGGGTCGTAGTATAGGCTAAAAGCCCGGCTCGTTAAATTATATATATATATATATATATATATTTATATTGGTTCAGGTGAGAAATGCATCTAATGTGAGAAATGAGAATGAATCTCAGCCATTGGATTTACGAAGTTGCACTAAAATTGGCTTTATGTTGCAGTAATATTTAAATTTTTCACATGTTGCACTAAAACTGTTTCATGTTGCACTAATATTTGACGGCGTTGCACCGAAATAGCTTCATGTTGCACTAGACACGTGTAATACGGATTTTTCAGAAGTATTTACAGAAACGCCACCTTGCTAGATTGCATATTTCAGTGCATCATGAAGTGTCTTTTACTGCAACTTAGTCAAATCCAATGGTTGAGATTCATTCTCATTTCTCACCCAAAGAGTTCTTCTCACTTGAACCTTACCCTATATATATATATATATATATGTATATATATGAGTTCAAATAAAAAGTGGTCTTCCCGTGCAAAGTACAAAGTTTCATATAAGCGAAACATGCAAAAGTGAAAACTTTGTACTTTGCACGGGAAGACCACTTTTTATTTGAACTCTTCCCTATATATATAATATTATATATTCCGTATATACAAAATTTATAACTTTAAAGTAGGCCACTGCTCTTAGATTGGTTTAATCAATTATATATGTACTTTTAATTGTTGATGTTAGTTTGATATTTGAGTGATTTTTATTTTTCGGAATCGTTTGTGTATTTCATCCAAAATATATTTTTATGTCGTGAGTACATTTTTTGCGTTTAAAATGTTGTGTTATTTTACATAAGTTTACAATTTTTAAAAAATTTAGGAGGATAGTTTTTCTATCATCTTGTACTTCTTTCCCTCACAAAAACAGAAAAAGAAAAAGAAAACATACGGAGTATAATTTTTTCGGGCCCGATGGCCCGACAGGCAGCCCGTCCCGCTCTTTTGGGCGGGCTTGGACATATAAGGAGGCCCGTGGTACCGGGCCGGGCCGGCCCGCCCACTACATATGGGCAGATTTTTAAGAATAAGCCCGGCCCGAACCCGCGTTTGTGCAGGTCTACTCCAAATCCTACGGATAGTCGAATAGACCGGGTTGAGACAAGGCATTAATTAAGACCGAGTAGAATTCCATTTCCCATTCTAAAATCGGCCCCTTTGTTTGATTTTGGAAAATGATCAAACACTCTAAATATAGATTGACAAACAATCGCTTCAGTCAGAATTTTATCAATTTCAATAGAATCGACCGATTCTACCAAATTAAGTGTTACCAAATGAGCTCTAAATGTTTTTACATTTCATGTCGATCTTCAAGTAAAGTTAATTAAAAGCTAGATTGCATGTGATGTTTATGAGGATTTTGTGCAATAGTATTAGGATTTGTGATTTACATGTATATGCGTAATGTAATCAAATTTTCACGCCCAATTGGTTCGGTTTTTTAACCTAAAAGCAAATGTCAAACTGGAGCAAAAAGTTCAGTTTGGTTTAATTTTATCTTTCAAAAATTGAACCTACGGTATGGTTGGTTCATTTATTTCAACTCGGTTTCGATTTTCGCCAAAATATCTTCGTTGATTAAGAAACATAGTAATTGCAAAGCAAAAAAACCTATATAACACAATTAATTTAAACTACATCGCAAAATTTCAATCCATCCAAGTAATAACCTCCTTGCACTATACTAAAGTGATAAACTTAGAAGGATTACCCGCATAAGCGGAACTAGGGCGATGGTAGGGTCGGCAGCTCGGCCCATCCAATTAACAAAATTTGGCGCACAAGGAAGTCCTTGCGCTATCAGGGGTTTAGAAGTTTATTTTTAGAAACAATAAATGGAACACTTCTTATAACGTTATACTTGTACTACGTATATATCTCCCTCTTTTGTTCATTCTCTCATCTTCTCCGCACATTATTACGATTTAGAGAATTAATTAAGTTTAGCCGCAAGAATTAAATTGCTCCAAGAATATGGCAATCACTATTGATTTGAAAAGGATGGACGAACAGCTCAAGCCCCACGTCGACAGGCTTCTCAACGTCCTAGACAGCGGCGGCCGCCAACCAGCCGCCGGCAAAACTCGACTCCTTGGGACGGAGGATCTACTGTTTGGCACAGAAAAAAGACTTGTCAAAGAAAAGGGTCGCCTCCATTCAACGCCAAAACCTGGCGGTGGCGGCAGGAATCCTCTGTTTGGGAGGGCGGAAAGCGGTGGCCATCAGCGGTCTACGGAGGCCGCCGGAGAAAGGCATCCGGAACTGCCGGCGGAAGGGTGGCAGTTGGACCCCAAGAAATTGACGATCAAAGCTCTCATCGGTGAAGGTGCCTCTGGATTCATTTATAGAGGATCTTACAACGCTCTTGATGTAGCAGGTAATCTATAATCTATAATAACTAGACATATACGATTATACGAAGTTGTAATACATATTCATGCATGCAAGTTTTTTTTATTTCATTTATTTATTTATTTATTTATTTTTATATCTAGCTTGAGGAAATTATTTACATACGGAGTATACATTAAGGGACTTATATATAATCATTGAATTGTGACTTGAATTATAAGGTTTAGTTCAACGAACACTTCAATTTCTTTGCATGAAGTTTATACAAAGTTTGTTGATCGGTGTTTGAACTTTGAAATTGATTATGCTTCCTTTTTTTTATAGAAGTAGAAGTAGAGTCAGAATCAATTTTTCAAAAGTCGGTCTTCCTGATTTCTGAAACAATTTTGAACGCTTTGAAATACTTATGTACGTCTAGCCAAACAATTTTGAACACTGAAAAAGCTGAAGCAATTTTATTAAGTTGTTCATGCATGCCCAAATAAATTACAACTAATTAAATCTATTTTATTAATTTTGCAGTGAAAGTCTTCGAATGGGAAGATGTAAACACAAGACAGAAAGTAGAAAACGATTTCCTCCATGAAGTTGCTGTTTGGTATCATTTAGATCACCCCAATATCGCAAAGGTATGTAATAAACCAAATAAGCGACATACGGAGTATTAATTATTTCGATGAAGGCAATTCGTTTTCTTTGGCAGTATGATTATTTTAGAATCCAAACAGGCCTAAACTTGGGTTTCAATGCGCATGTTTTTCGGTCTTCCTAATTTGCCTGCCACTAAGCTAGTTTTCCTTTTAAATTTATTGTTCAATTCATAAGTTTGATTTGTACCCTACGTGTGCAGTTTATTGGAGGAATAAGGAGTTTATCAAAGGTGAACATTATACCCAAACACAGCTTTAGGGTGCCGAAGAATGGCTACTGCATAGTGGTGGAATACCTCTCCGGTGGATCTCTCCAAACACACCTCTCCAAACACCGGACTAAGAAGCTTTCTGAGAGGGATATCCTTCACTTTGCTATTGATATTGCTAAAGGGTAATACACTAATTCATACGGAGTATAATAATATCGCATATTTATTCATTTTCAGATGTGGGGTTTACTTTATCCAAGCCACTAACACTTAATATGTTGTGCAGATTGTGCTATCTTCACTCAAAGAAAATTGTCCATAGAGATGTGATGACCCAAAATTTACTTCTCAACAAACAAGGACACGTAAAGTTCGTGGACTTCGGAGTTTCTCGATTGGAGGCCGCAAAAAGAAATATGATGACGGCGACTGCCGGAACACAATGTTATATGGCTCCGGAAGTATATGATGGAAAGGAATATGACCACAAATGTGACGTATACAGCTTTGGTATTTGTTTGTGGGAGATATGCAACTGTGCCTTCATTGTCTACCAAGTACATTTCTATTAACCTTCTTCTCTATGTTACAATTTTTTCCAATATTATACGAAGTATAAGTTATTTCATACTTTTCTTGCAATTATTAGATTTTGTGTTTATTTATGCATATTCAGATTTTCAACTTTTTTTTTCAGGACCGAAAACTTGACGCACCAGATTCATGCCCAAAGGGTCTAGCTGATGTGATGAAGATGTGTTGGGATTCGGATTCACGCAAAAGACCAGAGATGGATATGGTTGTAAAGAGGCTAGAAGCAATCTACACATCCGAATATGCATCAAGAGAAGTACATTCTAAAGGTGTAGGCTGTGTCTCCTTACTTTCAGGCCTACGAAAGCATTCCCATTCCTAGCGAGCTGGCTGCTGATTATAGCATTTTTAATTGATAGTTTATAGAGTTTTGTGACAATTGAAAGTAAGAGTAGGGGTAGCTTAGCTAGACTAATAGAATGTCATGTATAATGTCACGATTGATGAAAAAAACTAAAGAACTACATGGGCTTTGATTTCTCTGAAGAGAATATGTAGGCAGCTTCTATGAAGTGCAAGCCCTTTTGTTATTTAAAATTTTTTGTGTGTAACAATTGTCTTTATATTTCATGTGGCAGATGTCTTTATTTGACCTTAGCTTTCATTATAGCCATAAATTAAATCACACTCCCAAATAAGCGCGAAGTACTAATTACAAGAGTATTTCTAAAAGGTCTTTTGCACTACTAATACAACGGATAAAGAGAGAAACTATATTATAGTAGTATACTTCGTATATCACTACATCAAGCTTTTAATTCATGTGAGATTGTTGGAAAAAGTGTGTTAAAATTGCATTAAATGGTGTTTTTGGGGAAATTTTTTGAGTGGGGTCCACTTCCGATTTGGTTCGGGTCAAAGTGGTTTCGGATTGTTCTTGCTTAGGGCTACAATTCGATATATGGTACGCTCAAAACGGATAACGGGTGAATGAGAAATCGCTTTTCGAAGTTTACCCGTTGGAATGGAAAAACTAGGAAAAGGTGTGTTTTAGTGTGGGTTTTCCCACACCGAAAATCACAAAAGGGAAAGACTCTCTCACGCGCGTAGGGGGCTGCGAATCAAATCCCGAAACCATCATATCCTGAGAAACGATCGTTGCAACGCTCCTAGCACCCCGGGAGGCAACGAATACGTTTTAAGGAAATCATGAGTAGCACGAGCTTTGGCTTATCTGGCTTATCTGCTTCATCTCATTTCTTGTTTTTCGTTAAGTCATTTTATTTAATTAATTTTTATTAATTATTTTTCTTACTTTTTCGAAACACACCCAACAACTTTTATGCAATTTATATATCATATATATAGCAATAATTGTACGCCAATGATGCATGTTGTAAATCAGACATACTTCATTCATGCTGAGTTGACAAATTAGACCAAATTAAAATACGGCAATTATATTAAATGAGCACTCAGAATTGTATAGGTTTCACTTCAATACATCATAATTCATTATAATGGCTAACGGCTATACCACAAAACTCAGGGTATCAAATTAGCCCGAACAATTCAGCTAACCAGCTCTAAGTTGCATTGTGTTCAGCTAACTCAGGGTAGGCATTTTAAACAACTATTTCACATAATATTGTACGGAGTACTTTGTGTTAATAAAACATGATATTATTACTTTATAATTACTCACCAATAAATACACCACAAAGGTAACTACCAACCAAATATGATCGTGTTAGCTAGCCTTATATTTATAGGCCGGTATACCGTATACGTACATCACCTTAGTGTTTCCTAATTAGTTTAGTGTGTCGAGTTTACAACCACTGCTAAAAAACATGAGATTGGCAGGCAGCCAGGGATTTTGACAGGGATTATGCCAAGTTCATGCCATAAACACTTGGCACGAGCTATTTGGCACGAAAAATCGATAATTCATGCCAAAATTCTGTGCCAATCCCATGTTTTTTTTGTAGTGAACTTACAAGTAGAAATTGAAGTTCAATTTGATTACGATAATGCACATCCTTTTTTTTGTAGAAAAATAAGTGCTTTGCATGGTCTATTTAAGTCCGACAAGACCAAAATTGATTTGGATTTATATATACTTCGTATTTCACAATTATTTATATCTGGTCCATTTTGTTTACCGTTGATCTAATCCGTTTGTTTAAGTTGTTATTTGATATGGTCTAAAACCGGGATCTTAATCATATGAGTAAAATGCATAAATAGTCCATGAACTATCATTGTCATATCATTTTGGTCTTTGAACTATTAAATCTATCATTTTAATTCTTAAGCTTTTTTTTTTTTTTTGAGAGTAATTCTTAAGCTATTTAATCTATATTAATCGAGTCCTTTCGTTAAATAATACTGTCGTCCCCGTCGCTACGGCACCCGCTGCCGTATTATTACCTCCAGAGTTAATTAATTAGTAAATCGTGGTCAATCCTTACATGCATTATATTGTTCGTGAGTAATTAAGAAATTGCGAATTGAAGTGTACAGCAGTGTAGGAACCCGAAAAGATTAATTTGACTCAAAATGCTAATTGTGGAATTAGTTACAATTATAATAGTGATAAAAAATATATCAAACGAGATACTTTATTTAATTTTCATTATACCTATGGTACTTCAATTCATCAATCATCATATATAGTAGATTAAATATTCCTTTCTGATGTATTTCAAAAAATAAACATTTAAATCCAAATATAGACTAGTCGTTTGAGTTCTCATAACAAATGCGTAGTCTTGAATATATATATGTTGTAAATGTTACGTAGTATATATTTATGATTAAAATAAAGTTTGTTTATAAAAAAGTGACATCTCAAATGTACTTTGTTGAGGTTTATCCCGAAGACCCGAAAGCCCAACACACGCTTTGGGTATCTAAGGATGTTTGGGGTTGATTCAGAAAGGTGTTTAAAAAATAGTGAGATAATGATTACTCCAAGAGCTTATTAGTATTCAGTAATGCTGTGATTACAACGAAATTACCCGAACGGGTGGTAAATACGAGAATGCCAAAGTAAGAGAAGTGTTTCTACTTGCTAAGCTCTGAGTATCGAAATGCTAACCCTTTACAATGATCTTAATACAGGTATTTATACTAAAATGGGGATGGGAAAGCTGGACACGTGGCTGAATCCAGTAGGTTACATCCCCTGCCACGTAGGAACCCATGCTTCCACTTGCTACCGCCATACTTTAGCATTAAATGCAGCATCCACTTGTTGACTGCCCGTTCGGGTAGGATGTTCGATATTGGGATACCCTGTCATTGTTATCCTGAGAGCCAATATCCCGAACGCCGATCGGTGTGCGGTACCTCGTCATGGATGTAGGTGCAGTTGTTCTCCGAAATGCTCCAAGTGTAAGTAATGAGCCGAACGCCGAACGGGTCTGGACCGTTTTGGACCTTCTGTTCCCTCCTGGTATCCCTATATTTTGGGCCTGGGATATTGGGCCTGGACCCAATATCCCAACATACTTAATATGACACTAATTTTAGTTATAACATAAAAACTTATGTTCAATTTCTACCTTCATTAACTAGGATACTTCAGTGTAGTCATATTTTTATAAATATGTAGAATTCTCTAGAATCGTGCACAAGTGTGTGGAAATCTCTAGAACATTCTGAAGTGGTGCGGAGTTTTCTAGATCCTTATAGAAGATTAGAAAAGCTTGTGGATACTTCTTGTGAGAGCCTTGAGAGTGTCTCCTTACGAGAGAGCCTTGATTGAGAGCCTAGTGAGAGCCTCCTCAAGTGATGAGAGAGAGCCTTAAGGGGAGCTCTTGAGTGAGTGAAAGCCTCCTCAAGTGATGAGAGAGAGCCTTGAGGGGAACTCTTGAGCGAGTGAGTGCCTCTTTGAGAGAGGGGTGTGGGAGTGAAGTAGTCCCAAATACAAAAAGTGATGTCTAGGCTATCTATTACTTGTAAAATATCTCTTATACATTTCAATTGTATAATACAAAGTCATATTGTCAGATCAGATTAAATCTTTGTATTGCGAGGGTATGGGCACATGTACAAGAGTCATTTGATCTCGTGATCCTAGAAGAGGTCAGGGGTCGTGTGTCCCCAACAATAGTAGCATGCGATCAAAATAAAATTTACTCTCCTATTATGGGGGCATTATATTTCTAAATCACCCTTGACGAGAAAGATTAGAGTTGAAACATAATCTCACTTAATTAAATTTCACATAACCTCTGTTCATAATTATTTAATTCGTTACGTTCTTAACATTAATGAATTTTACATGATTCACATGGTTTACTCTAATCACATTTTATATACTTATGTGTTATAAATTAATTTTTTGAAAAGAATTGCTAAGGAGAAAATATATAAGTTGTATGATTTGTGAGTTCTGGACTTCTGGTGCTATGTATTACTATATGTGAAACCATTTTTTGGTACGGAGTAACTGACATTCTTGACGGCACTACTAGAAAAATAGTCTATAGTGACACTAAATTAGTGTCACAGAAAGTTTTTCTGACACTAGAAAAGTGTCAAAGAAGGTTGGGAATTGTGACACTAAATTTAGTGTCACTGGTAAAGTGTCACTAATTTCTGACACTAATGTATCACAAAAAATTCTGATAAAATAATATCACAATATATTTTGACACATTAGCATCAACTAAATTTATGATACATTGGCATCACTTTATATTTTGACACATTAGTATCAATTAAATTTATGATACATCGGTATCACATAATGTTCATGATATATAAATTTATATATTATATATATATACACATGAAGTATAAGATTATTACTTGAAATATAAAAGTGACAATGCGAAAAATCAAAAAGCGCTTCTTTCTTCAAAAAAAAAGAATCATCATTTAAATTTGAATTCGAATGTCATACACATTCCAACATTACAAAGTCAACTAAATTTGTAATAAACTAATTTCAGATCCTGAACTACTAGAAGCTCCACCTATAACTAAATCGGTTGATCTTCAACATGAGAGCATAGTGCTTCTTACTTGTTGGTGGCTTTTCAATATCTGAAAGAAATAAAATCAAGACACATTACATAGCGACAATGAATAATGTTTATGTGACAACACCAAAATATTATTGCTAAAAAGTAACCATCCCATCAATCGTAGATGAACTTCAAATTACAATGATATGGATTTCTGTATATGCAAGTACTAAGTAATATAGAATACAGATGGCCATTTCGCATTTGCTTGAGAGGTGAAATGTTTAACTTGTTCAAATGAACGTTTTCAATCTTCTCACCGCTAAGAGGAGTCGTTCTGTACATGGAGAACATATTTTTGAAATGGAATCATACAAATCGTAGCATTCATTAAGTACAATTTTACTTATTCAATACTTTGTACTAACTATTAAGGATATGATGATTGAGAGTAATCAGGCTCTATGAAAAACAGTTAATTCAAATAACCCAAAGAAAAAATAGCTTCAAATAAATGCTATTAAA